TCAGAGGAGGCAACCACTCTTTCGTGGGGGCCCAGTTGTGGGATGTGACTCGGTAGGCTGTTCCAGACATCTCTAAGCTATTTCTTCAGTGCTTCCCCCAAGGATTCTCTAGCCACTTACTACCTTTAAATGTTCCCCTCCTCACTTAAATCACCCAAGTGATTTCAAAGTCCTGCACCTGAAACCTGACTAGTTAACATTAGTTATTTACAATTTTATTTACTAATTTGTATGAGATAATTGGATTTTTTTCTAACTACTTGTATTGCCCCATTTTTACACTGCTGATAAAGACATACCCAAGACTGGGAAGAAAAAGAGGTTTAATTTGATTTACAGTTCCACATGGCTGGGAAGGTCTCATAAACATGGCAGAGGGCAAAAGATACTTCTTACCTGGTGGCAACAAGACAGAATGAGGAAAAAGCAAAAGCAGAAACCCCTGATAAACCCATCAGATCTCATGAGACATATTCACTATCACGAGAATAGCACAGGAAAGACAGGCCCCCAGGATTCAATTACCCGCTCCCCCCGCCCCACGAAGTCCCTCCCACAACATGTGGGAATTCTGGGAGATACAATTGAAGTTGAGATTTGAATGGGGACACAGCCAAACCACATCACTGCTGCTAAGAGCAATGCTGCAATAAATATCCCCATGCATGTCTTCTGTTAAATAGATGCAAGAATTTCTCTGGAGCACAAGGGCATGTCTTCAACTTTAATAGGTAGTGCCACAAAACTATTTTATCATCTTATGCTCCCCCTGCATGGCACTACAAAGTTTTGCTCAAAGTCAGTATCTAAGAACATTAAGTGAGGACTGGCTTCTTGAAAATTGCAACTTTAAGCAAAATGATGTATAATAAATTCAATTTTTTTCATCAACATTATCTGAAACAACCTTGAATGAAACGACCTTGAATAAAACAACTTTGATTAAAAAGATGTTATTCAACCTGCTGTATAAGAGTTTGATTTCTTATCCCTCACCCCTGAACTCTCCTACATTTCCAAGTCTCCGGTAAATCTATAAAAACAACAAAAAATAATTTTGAAAAGAGTTTCATTTCTCTAACATCATTGCTAATCCCTGGAACTGTTCATACATTTTCATATTTGCCAGTCAATGTGAAGTGATATCTCTGCTGTTTTATTTCCTCTAATAATTAGTAACAGTATTTTCTATAAATTTATTTATCATTCATGTCTCCTCTTCTGTGAACTACCTGTTCACATCCTTTGTGGATTCTTCATTTTCTTTGTTTTTTTTTTTTTTTCCTTATTGATTTGCAAAATTTATTTATGTATTCTGGGCTCTAATTCTTTGTTCATTATGTGTGTTGTAAATATAGCCTCCAATCTGTGGCTTGTGTTTTAACGTTTTATGGTATCTTTCAATTATGCAGAGGTTTTAAATATTTTAAGGTGGTTTAGAATTATTGCCCCATGGTGATATTGGACAGATATCAGAAAGAGTTGTGGGGTCAGACTCCAAACCCTGACCCACTGATGTCCATGGTTTCAGGTACTTTTATGCAAAGGAATGTATATCTTCTTGAGCTAAGTAGTGCAATTATGGTTATGTTTTTTCATAATATTCAATCTAATTTGCCATTTGTTTGTACCGCGAGAATGCATGAGTCATTCCACTTAAGATTCAAATTCTAGGAAAAAACAGATAATCTAGCTAGTGTAGTTTGAATCATACGCTCACTCTTGGTCAGGAGATTGTGGGTCATCTTGACTGACACAGTTCTACCAACTGTGTCAATGGAAGAGGGGGAGATCCCCAAATCAGAGTCCCAGTGCAGTCTTCAGATGTAGGCAAAATAAAATAAAACCTGGGCAGGCGAAACAATTGATGTGGGCTTCAAGTACTAGGCAATATATTGAATAAAGAACTGTTATTTCTTAGCTACAGTGATTACAGAATTTTGTTCTGCAAAATGATAAAATAACATGATCAACTCTGGATAACGTATTTACATATGGCACAATGGAAGCATTTAAAAAAAAAAAAAAAACACCTCAATTCAGTCAGGAACATTAGAGAAGGATTCAGAGGAAGTAACTAGTGCATCAGTCAAAGAATGGGGGAGATTTTTCTAGTCTGAGGAAACAGCACATATGAAGGAAGGGGACTGTAATAGGCAAGTCATAATCAGAGAGCTCCAAGTAGTTAAGTGTGGCAGACATGTGAACTGCAAAGACGGGTGGTTATAGGTAAAGACAGAGAGAAACGTGTCTTAGAACCATTCGCTAATAGATGGCTTTGGAGAGAAATAAAGGAGGGTGGGGAGGCATGTCTAATAATAGAAGCTAAAATAAGAATATCGAAATTTAGGTGTTAAAAGTATGTCAGGCTTCATGAGACTAGCACAATGTCTCACAGCTGTTTCAAGGTCCCACCGTCAGAGAAAAACGCTAACTGGGGAGGATGTGAGCGAGGTGTAGCTCGTCTTCTGTTCTTGGATTAAATGCACAGACCTCCATCTGCGGTGATATACCAACAAGCTCTAAAGTTAGAAAAGCATGTGAGAGTCCTAGGCAGGAAGAGCTTTGAGCCTAGATTTTTTTTGTAAAATCAAATATAATGTTCTTATTCAAAACACTTCCTGATTTTTGTTTTGGGACACAGTAATACCTTACTTGTAGACATGCCTATGTCATAGAAAAGTAGAGAGGGTATGAAACATGGCATCTGCTGCTCTGGATTTCCACCCAGCCTCTGCCACTTAACAGCTACGTGGCTTTGGACTTCTCTACACCTGAGTTTTCACACTTGCAAAATGGTGATTAAAACACCTACAGAGTCCACCAACACCCAAAGCAGATAAACAAACAACACTTAGCTCTTTCTATATACCTATATGTAGCAGTTTTTTTCTAAGAATTAATTACATAATGCTGTTTTTAAAATGTGCTTACAAATATAGAGTTGATCTTTGTTTTGAAATTGTATAATGTTTTCCAATCTATAGGTTAAAACTCAGTTAGTGATTTTGACTACCATTAAAAACTATAATAAAAACAAAATGAAGTGTAAGAGATTAAAACAGCATCAAGTGGAGTAGGCTCAAATACAAACTACTAAAATAATGCCAAAATATGGAGTACTTTTCTTTCAAAAGTCTATTTTTGTGTTTTGTGTGTGAGTGTGTCTGTATGTACGTGTGACAGAGTTGTGCTCCTGTTGCCCAGGCTGAAGTACAATGGCATGGTCTCTGCTCACTGCAACCTCCACCTCCCAGGATCAAGCAATTTTTCTGCCTCAGCCTTTCAAGTAGCTGGGATTAGTGCTGCCACCATACCAGGCTAATTTTTGTGCTTTTAGCAGAGACGGGGTTTCGCCATGTTGGCCAGGCTGTCTTGAAGTCCTGACTTCAGATGATCCACCCACCTCGGCCTCCCAAAGTTCTGGGATTACAGGCGTGAGCCACTGTGCTCAACTCTTTTTCTTTCTTTTTGATACAGAGTCTCACTGTGTTGCTCAGGCTGGAGTGCAGTGATGTGATCTTGGCTCGCTCCAACTTCCGCCTCCTAGGTTCAGACGATTCTCCTGACTCAGCCTCTTGAGTAGCTGAGATTACAGGTGCAGGTCACCACACCCAGCTAATTTTTGTATTTTTAGTAGAGACAAGATTTTGCCATGTTGGCCAGGCTGGTTTTGAACTCCTGAACTCAGGTGATCCACCCACCTCGGCCTCCTAAAGTGTTGAGATTAGAGGCGTGAGTCACCGCACTCAGCTTTGTTTTTGTGTTTCTTGGAGTGTGTGTGTGGTGGGGGGTGGGGAGAGCGTGTGTATCAAGTGATTAGTATAAATAATTGGCATAAATTAAAAATAAATGTTGAATGAGATGACCCAAAACTTAAACTAGGACTTTGGGCTCCAAGTCTAACTCTCTTGCTGACAGTAGATACTTAAACAGTATAGGGGAGGATTAGGTACCCCATGAGTTCTTAATGAATATTAATTACTAGTCATGAAATGAATGATGGAAATTACCAATTGAGGAACCAAGACATTCCTCAGAATTAATGTCCTGATAGGAAGTAATGATGTCCCAGTGAATAGCTAAGGGCTATTAGCACCAGCTCAGCTGTGTCTCTGGGGAATATCTAAATAAGGGTCATAATTATTCTCTCTAGAACAGCAAATGAAGATTCATAGGCCCATAAATTTCCTTTTCTATGGGCCCTGGACTTGTGTGGCTCAGTTAAAAGGCAGGGATCAAGAATAAATGTTCTGTTTAGTAAACCCAGAGGTTAGGGGCAGAAACACTCATCATTCTGTAATTCTCTTAGAACTATCCAGTTTAGAGTCTATCAAGGGAAACAAACCTGAGGTTATCATCTTTGAAGGAACCTCAGTTTTCACATTCAGAATTGAACTATCTAATCTCTAAGTTTTCATTCGACTTAACATTCTATGAGCTGAGGTGAAATTTTTGCTGACAGAGCCATCAGTGAAACTTGACATATGAGAACACAGTGGTCTTGAAACCATAAGTACAGTATAAACACCTCAGTCATCTGGTTCTTCTTTGAGTCTGAAGTATTGTGGTAGAAACCATTAGGTACATTTGCCCATAAATAATTTGTATGCCTTTTCTCCTGTTAATCTGTCTATTGTCAGTTTGTTTTATAGACTCAAATTACCAAACTTTCAGAGGAAGAGGAAGGAAAATCCTCTTTGCCCTTATACTGTAATTTGTTCAAGATCAGTCCATGATGAAGCATGTGTTAGAATCTCCTTCCTTTTTAGGCATGAAAAATATTCCATTGAATGTTTATACCTCATTTTGTGTATCTATTCATCCACCAATAAACATGTGAGTTGCTTCCACCTTTTGGCAATTGTGAATACTGCCATGAACTTGTGTGTACAAATAACCTGTGTGAGTAATCTGTTTTCAAATCTTTGTGGTGTATATCCTGAAGAGAAATTGCTGGATCATATGGCAATTCTGTTTAATTTTTTTATTTTAATAATAAAGATGCCAGGACCAACGATCACCAGCTGCCCAACTTCCAAAAATTGTGCTTCTGAAATCTCTTGATATCAACTCCACATGGAGTCGTGCTCTGTCACCCAGACTGGAGTGCAGTGGTACGATCTCAGCTCACTGCAACCTCTGCCTCCTGGGTTCAAGTGATTCTCCTGCCTCAGCCTCCCATGTAGCTGAGATTACAGACATGCGTCACCATGCCTGGCTAATTTTGTATATTTGGTAGAGACAGGGTTTCTCCATGTTGGTCAGGCTGGTCTCAAACTCCTGACCTCAGGTTATCGGCCCACCTCGGCCTCTCAAAGTGCTGGGATTCAGGAGTAAGTCACCATGCCCATCCCTCTGTTTAATTTTTTAAAGAACTATCATACCAATTTCCAGAGCAGGAATATCATTTTACATTCTTAACAGCAATGCACAGGGGTTCCAATTCCTCTACATCCTCACCAACACTTGCTATCTTCCAGTTTTGTGATGATAGCCATCCTAGTGAGTGTAAAGTGGTGTCTCATTGTGAATTTGATTTGCATTTCTCTAATGATTTTGAGCATCTTTTTTTTTTTTTTTTTTGAGACAGGCGCCAGGCTGGAGTGCAGTGGTGTGATCTTGGCTGACCGCAACCTCCACCTCCTGGGTTCAAGCAATTCTCCTGCCTCAGCCTTCCAAGTAGCTGGGACTACAGGTGCACACCACAATGCCCAGCTAATTTTTGTATTTTAGTAGAGACGGGGTTTCACCATGTTGACCAGGATGGTCTCGATCTCTTGACCTCATGATCCACCGCCTCGGCCTCCCAAAGTGCTGGGATTACAGGCGTGAGCCACTACACCCAGCCTTGAGTATCTTTTTTATGTGCTTCCTGGTTATTTGTATATTTTCTTTAGAGTAATGTCTATTCAAATAGTTTGCCCATTTATCAATTGGGACATTTCATTTTATTGTTGTTGTTCAGTTGAAGTTCTTGGTATAACACGAATATTAATCTTTATGAAATATATTACTTGAAAATATTTTCTCCCACTCCTCGAGTTGACTTTTCACTCTGTTGATTGTGCCCTTTAATACACAAGAGTTTTTAATCTTGATGAAGTCTAACTTATCTATTTTTTTTCTTTTGTTGCCTATGATTTTGGTATCACAGCATAGAAATCATTGCCAAATCTCGTGTCATGAAGATTTTCCCCGAACTCTACCCCTTTTAAGGGAAGAACTACTAGGTGAGATGACAACAGGTAAGGATACGAGGGGCTGGGAAGTACTGGTGCTGAAATGCAAATTATCACACCTCCTTTTCCCTCTTTCAGTTGCTCACCGTCCTAAAGCACTCTCCTTGCTCTGCCACATAATTTTTCTCTTAGAAAGAGAATCCTGTCAACTCAGAGGTGATAGTGACTAAGGCTTGTCTAAAAGAACTACAGCTCCTAAGGATACTTATATCTCAACATGGGGCAAGAAATCTTAAACCAAGGGAAAGAAGACATGTGTTTGACATTTTGTTCATCTCTAAGCTTGTGATAGAAACCTTCTCACACCCTGAAGCCACAAATCAGAAAACTGGCCCAGTTTCCCACTTGCCACCATTTCTGTAATTCCAGCCTTCAGCATCAGACTGCTTTATTAATCGATGTTACCAGTGTTCCATTACAGACAGGCTGTGATGGAGGTGTAACCTATTAGCCAAGCAAATTCCACTTGTAAAATCGACAAACAAAATCCTTGTAAGCCTCCTTCGTGGTGTGAATCCCTTCTCCAGGGAAGTGTGGCACCACACCCTTCCTTGTGCAATGGCAGGTAACTACTTTTTCTTCTTTACTGGCTGTCTCTTAAGTGTTTCTAAAGCACCTTTGCACTTTGTAATTTGTTTATGTAAAATAAAATATTTTCTTGGAGTCTGCCCAGGTTTTGAAAAGCCTTTATTACATTCTACAATTTATATAAGAAAACAGAGTTTTCCTCTATTTTCTAAATGTAAAAATCATAATGCTGAGTATGCTCTTTCAAGCTATACTTCCTTGCAGAGATGGATTTTATTTCTCCACCATCATCCCAAGGTATCCAACACACACGCACACACACACACACACGCACACCCCATAAATCATTGTTTCAGAAAGCAGAGGGACTAGAAAGGGTTGTTGTTGGTGATGGTGGTGGTGGTATTTGTTTCATTTTTTTCATGGAGATTATAAAGACTGATGCAAATCAAGGTTTATGTGTGTGTGGTGCATAGAGGCAATGGACTGGAGCAGAAAGCAATAAACTGAGTAGACTGCATAAGGTCACTAAAGATCTGGAAGGGACGGAGGTGGCAGGTAAGGGTGAGTTTATTGCTGAGACGAGCTGAGAAAGAAGGGGCACAGATGGAAAGGTAAGTTCCATCCACCTCTCAATTATGCCTTGAGTGAGCACTGGTTGTACCTATTTCAGTCTACCTATTAAAGTCCACTGTGGATGCACAATTGAAGGCAAAAACACTGAGTGGCATCTCCTGTGGCCTTTATGATAAAAATATAAGTGAGGCTTAGGGATAATGTAAAGAGGGGAAAAAAGGAAAGAAAGAGAGAGAAAGGAGAAAGAAGAAAGAGAGAGAGAGGGAGAGAGAGAAAGAAAGAGAGAAAGAAAGAAAAAAGAAAGAAAGAAAAAGAAAGAAGGAAAGAAGGAAGAATGAAAGAAAGAGGAAGGGAGGGAGAGAAAAAGAAAAAAGAAAGAAAAAGAAAGAAAGAGAAAAAAGAAAAGAAAGAAATGAAAGAAGGGAGGGAGGAAGGGAGAGAGGGAGAGAGAAAGAGAGAAGGAAGGAAAGAAAGAAAAAGAAAGAAAGAAAAAGAAAAGAAAAGAGAAAGAAATAAAGAAAGAAGAAAGAAAGAAAGAAAGGCATGACTAAGGTTCAAGGAAAAGTTTTCCATGCCTAATTTGTTGCAGAAATTATTCACGAATAAGTCAACTGTGAAAATACGGCCACTGAGACCCAGCCAAGGTTAGTGTGAGCCATTAGGATCTGCTGAGTAAATTCCAGCTATGTAATCAAAAACTGCTTGGTTGGAGCTTTAACTTAAGTACCCATTCCCCACCCCCCCACCAGTGTTTTTACAGGGAACGGTGTAGGGGGGCAGGCTGAGGTACATTGCAGGTAATTGTTCTGAGCCAGATGTAGTAGTTCCTGGTTACTCTGTCAGAGAAGCATCTTATAAATTTCTTCTCTCTCTTCTCTCCCTCAATTCCTGGATATTTACTTCAAATTCTACATAGAAAATGAGAGAGAAACACTGGTTTTGCTGGGGTTTTACCAGAGGGCTAGGAGCAGTCCCTTTTTCATTCAAATTGGCCAATTCTTGGCTATGTACAGGGACATAAATAAAAGTTAAACAAAGCCTAAAAAGCCAAAATAAGGGGGGAAGGGGGAGCCTAATGATCTCACATAGGCTATGAATTAATCCACGTCACCAGAAAAAAAAGCACATTTCATAAATCAGTGAGTATCCTTGTAAGGGTATATTTCACATCATCTGCAAATTTGTAATTGTGCTCACTACCTCCAATAGAAATCCCTCCCCAGATTTTACTGTCTAATGGGCGTATAATAAAAGGTAATATATATTCTTGTGCTAAGCAATAAATAGGAAACACTCAGCAGCACTGTCTTCCTGAGGAAATCTCAGGTCTTCTGGGATGCATATTCATTCACACAATAAGGAGACACAAATCAACATGGTGGCCGAGCAGGCACTGGGTGAGCGATGGCCCTGGGTCTTAATGAAGCCAAACCATGAAAGGCATTAGAAAGATTGATTGGAATTAAGTTAGCTGCCAGTGTTAGCTGGGGTGCCCCAGGCTGTAATGAAACTGCCAGGGGTTATTTATAGAGATATAGGGTTTGGGCGTGTAAGTTATGTCCAGCAAGCTATTTTTATAGACAGACACACACTTTAACCTCTACAATGAATGGAGCAGCAGACACACAGTCCCACTGGGCTCCTCTCCCACTGGTTGGGATAGCATGCTTTCCCAGGCATTTGCACCAGGCTGAATAAAGTCTGGCTCTCAGTCAGAAGGAAACTGGGAACCGGTTAATGGCATTGTTTGAACATGTCAGTATCTTTTGAAAATGTGGGTGTTAGGACAAGAGAAAGTGTCAAAATCAGCACGAAATAATTGTTTTCATGCGAAACAAAACAAACACACATACCAAAACAATGTTGCTCTGTAAGTCCGGGGATAAGATATATGCTTGTTTCAGTGCTTATTAATCCTCTTTTGACCTTGGCTTCTTTTATGAGAGCCAGAATGGAAGGAAAAGAAGTAAAACCAATATTAATTGCATGCCCTCCCAATGACCCTGACAAAGAAATACCAGAATGCCCATTTTACAGAAGCAAATACTAAGTAATTTTTCTCAGACAACACTACCAGAAAGTGGCATGGTTTTTATATTGTACTGGTCAGGACAATTTTATATTGCATTTGCATTCTGGAAGGAAATAAATGGAACTCTAAAAAGTTTTAACTAAGAAGAATTTTATGAATATCCCTTGTACCAAAGATGGGAACACAGTCAAGAAACAGTGAAGCACCAGGGAACAGCAACTGGGAAAGGCTGTGACCACCCCCTACATGTGGAGGTCCATTGGGTGAACCCAACCAGATTCCAGAAGGCAAAGCATTCTGGGTAATGCCGTACACATGCTCAGCCTCCAGGGCACAGAGGAGGGTGGGGCTGAAGAGGAAAGAGAATAACTAGTGCATTGTCGTGTTCCTCAACCCAGCTATATTTGCTATATATTTCTTGGACTTAAGGTGAATGTGGAAAAAAGGTCCAAAGAAAGCTGAAAAACAAAACTTTTTATCAGCCCCTAGGAATATGATCATATGAATTCTAGCACAGCCAAGAGGTTGGAAATGTTACCCAATCAGAAAGTCCCTTTAATTTCCTGCCTTACAGGCTCCAACAGAGGAAAAGGGGAAAATGGTGCATGGATTGTCTTACAGGTGTGATCCTTAAAAGCTGCTTCTTTCTTAACTTGTGAAAAATATCTGTAAAATGCTGTGAAGGGGGCCAGGGGAATATTACAGTCCAGGCCAGGAGGTACAGCAACAGTAGTTGGGGCCACAGCAGCTCAATTTTGTGGAAAAGAGAAAGGGAGACACCGACAGAATGAGAGATGGACCTGGCAGGATCCAATGCTGTGTGGGTTACTCAGGGATCCCTCAAATACAGA